GAGATGGAGAGTATTGTTTTATTTCATTTAATATAATTCCATTCACGAAATCTCTAGAGGTGTGCAAAATTGTTGATATTTCCTATACAACGTAATTACGATAAATATCCTTGGAAACGAGGAATCGAGGAGGAATTAAACAATTGAAATATTTTAAAAATTCTTTAGACGCGTTCATCATTTTCTGTTTGACGTTGGTTTACGAATATAATTTCCACGAATATCAATTTCGCAGATTTCGTCGATAAACGTTGTTGTTATCCACAGTTTCGTGAAATTCTCTTTCCGTTTTCATCCCTTCTCGCGAATTTCTTCGCGATCGAGCCTCTATAATCCGATAACGACAAATCCGGTTAAAACGAAAACAGTCACTTAATACATCAAGTGGAACAGGCTGAACATTCGTCGATCTCTCTCCCTCTCTCTAAATCCCAGAATCCATATCGCTGATACCCCGATTCTACGGCAACGAAATTTCGCCGTAGGACTTTTCATTCCGTTGCCATGTAAACCCTCTTCTTAACATCATAGGGACGGATTATTTTTAATCGGATACAGTCGGAAATACCTACCTAGGAGATTAAAGAAAAAATTCGGTCGGAATTTCCATTCGATTAGACGACTCGCAAAAAAAAAAAAAGAAAAAAACAAGAAAAAAAAGGGGAAGAGAAAAAAAAGAAGGAAGAAGGGGAACAACATCCCCTCTTCTTCATTCCGAGCGGATCGTTCATGCAAATTGTACACGGTGTAATAGGGGAGGGGGGGGGGAGGAGGAGGAGGAAATAGAATCACTCCTCCCTTCTCCTCCCCCTGGCGCGCGAGGTAAGCCAGAATCTGGGTTAGGGAGGTCTAATCAGGACACATTGAATTATACGGTTATCGTGGCTTCGCATAATGTTGCATAATGCCGTGGCATTCGATCAATTATGCGACGATATTTGTGCTCAATTATGCAACTAAGCCAGGCATTCTCGCGCCGTTATCGGCAATCACTTTTCGGCCATCCACCCGGCATTCACGCGGATTACAGATTTCCTAATCTAACCGATGCCGTTTGCCCGACCGTTAGCCCGTATACATCCTGTCGCGTTAATTAACGCCATGTTGTTGCTGCACACGGCCAAACGATTTTCGGCCGTGTTTCTTTCTTTCCGCTATCTCCATCATTGTTCATTGAATTTCAGAACCAATTTCGATCGGAGGCTAATAACCCGTATCCTTCTCCCTCTCTCTCTCTCTCTCTCCCTCCTTCCTTCCT